TTTTTTTTTTTTTTTTTGTCTCTGTAGGCACTTGTCACTCTCTTCATCAAATCTGAGTCTGGGACAAAAATCCACTGAGTCATCAGCCCACCTGAAGCAGATTTCTGCCAACTTGCTAAAAAATGGCCATGGCTCTACTAGCACTGCCTTGGAGAATGGCAGCTTTCTGGACAGTATAAGTTCCCAGAGTTTGATTTATACCCAGAAAAAACGAAAGTCGGGTTTGGAGGCCAGTAGGATTGCTATGGGACCTGGAAGAGTTATCGCACCCTTCTCAGAGGGTATTGGGAATTCAGTGATGAGAAAGGCCCAGTCAGTTCATGACCTTGTTCATGAGGGTAAGGAAATGATTGGGACTATCATGTAACTCTAAATGGGGGTGCTGAGTTTCAGTAGAGACTTAAATTATTAATATATCTTGTGCAGCAAGCTACTAAAAAGTAAAATAACAACTAAGAAATATAACCACAGTACTGTATACAAGTGGGTGGGCTGAGGAGCCAGAGTGAGAGATGAAAACTGCTTCACGTGTTTCGTCTCATTTCCTCACTCATCTAAGTCCCTGCTTCTAAGGTGCTCTAAACTTGCATCTTGCAAGAAGTACTTTTTCTTTAAGCAAACAACAGTGTTAAAGAGATAGGTAAGGGGAGTAAAGAAAGGGAAGCAGGTATATTTTTGAGACCTGTCAATTTTTTAATACCATTTCAGTAGTTCTAAATGCTTCTCTAGAAGCTGAGCTGAAGTAAATAATTTGGAGCAGTTTTGATGCTTTCTAATTGCATAATTCGCTGCATCAGTTCTATATGGTTTATATGTTTGTTTAATTTCTCACAGATAAAAATCCAGGAGTGTTATCTTCTGCCAAGGAGCGGCCTCAGACACTAGCAGTTGTTGAGAGAGATTCCAAATCTAATCCTTGCAGGACATTGCCGACAAGTCTGCTAAAGATGGATGGGTCCAGCTCCCTGTTGATTAAAGATGCCAAGGCTACAAAACCCAAGTCCTACATGAACCCTACAACCAGTTTTAGGGCCAAGATGTCACGTAGCATCTCTGTGGGGGAAAATCTCCACCTTAGCGATTCTGCTGAAACATTGACTGAGGGGAGGACCAGCCCACAGGTACCAGAGAAGAACCAGTTAAATCCACCGTCAGAGACTGAGAAGAATAAGCCACCTCTGAAAGAAAATGTCCCAGTGAAGCCAGCTCTTCAACAAGCCGTAAACTGTTCATCTCCCAAGTCCTTCCACAGCAAACTGGCATCATCGAATCGGGCACACCTAATTCTTGACATCCCCAAACCATTGCCTGATAGACCTACATTGGCTTCTTTCTCACCTACTACCAAATCCAAAACCCCACTTGAACCAGAGTCTCCACAGTCACCTGCTGGAGGCTGTAAAAAGAAATCTTCCATTCCAGAAGGACGGGCTTCTAAGAGGGAGAGCCAGATTTGTGTGTTTGTTGGACTTAGTAAAGAGAGCCCAGTGGGACCTGTTAATGAAAATCCCTTACTGAGGACAGATTGCCAGGATGAACCAGAAGTTACTACTCCAAAACTGAAAGAGTTTTTAGAAGGTTTTTACCCTAGTTCACCTGAAAGCAGACCACCCAGATGCAGAGAGGAGGTCTCCAGCATCAGCTGTGCGCTAGAAAACCCGCCTGGACTTTGCCCACTAGATCCCATCAGGCCAAGGTCTCCCACAACAGTAGCTGCCTCAACACAGGTCTCAGGTGTGCATGGATACACATCTCTAGCCTTCTTTCCCCTTCTGTCTCCTGTCTCTGTGAACCGCTTCACGATTCCATCACATTTCTTTACGTCCAGCTTCTGGCCTGTCTCGTCTTGTCTGCACCTGTCTCGTTCCATAAGTCATCCCCTCAATGGTGAGACACTTCGGGCTGCTGACATCTTTTTCTCCTTAATTTCCATTTCTTTTCTATCTTATGTTTCAGTGTAAGGCTCAGTCAGATAATAGTTGACTGTTCTACAGATGGCGTGATTGTAGCATGTGCTCGCTTGATTCTGCTAGTTGAATCTAGCTTGTATAGGTAACAATAGCAGTGAAGATATCATGCTGATGATCAGAGTATGTGCACATGGGTAACTAGTACACATTGTAATTGCACCATCAATTTGCTGTGCTGGTATATGCCGAGAGGGGTAGAAGTGGACATACTCATGAGTGTATGCATAAGCGCTCCTGGGGGTTGCCAGCTTGCCAGCCTTTAGGACTGAAGAAAATTAAAGGTGGAGTCTAGTTCATAAGCAAAGTAATAGTGCTTTTATGACCACTTTCTATTTTATAGGTAACTCAAGGATCTTCCATAGAATTGACCTGTGACTTTAAGAATAGGACATAATAGTTGCAAATCGTGTCTGTTGGTTTGTGTTCAAGTCAGTATGTTTATTGTATAGAAAGTCTGCATATCTTTGGCTGTTAAACTGCCCTCTGAGTAGGGGTATAATAGCTGAAGCTGTGCTTTTCTGTTTTTTGTCATTGTTCTGTGTTAAAATGGCTATAACAATCATGGGATTTGCAAAGTACGCTTCTATCCTGATGGGGCTGTTTGACAAGAAACTGCTGGATTTTGCTTCCCCAACTATAGTACACTTTCAATAGTTTAGAATAATCCTTGTCCTAATGCCTCTTCATAATGCATTATATTCTTGTTTCATTCTGAAGAGGGTGTGTTAGAAGGGCATGGAGTTTTGTTTAGGTGGAGTTGGTTAGAAACACCTTGGTTTAATGCTTCTTGCCTTTGGCCTACATGAATCCCAGCTGACATTAGCTTAAAACCATACAAGCCAATCTTGGTTACCAAACCATCACACATTGTGACAGAAATTGAGATGCTGCTTTTTGCTTAGGATAGGCTAAAAAAAAAGAGAAGTACAAGTGCTGAATATTACAACCTAAGGAGCATTTCTTAAATTAGTGTCAGGGGAAGTTTCCATAGAATTTGCCCACACTATGCTTGGCCTAAGCCAATGCTTTTAGTTTCTTATTTAAAGATTGAGTTAAAAGCATCCCTCACCTTTGAAGTACTGGAGAAGTGGTTGTTCTCCAGAAGGGTTTCCTGTCAAATGATGGGGTCTAAGATGTTGGGGGGTGCTCTTTGCTTAGTCCTTTTGTTTCTTCTCCCTCTTCAGAATCTTCTGTCAGCCTTGAGCAATGTGAACATGTTGTATCTGAGCTCCAGGACAGCATGCGAAAGGCCATTCATCTTTACCACATGGTGAGTGACTTCAGACCCTTTAGATCTAGTTGGTCAGTTTGATTCTAGAGTTTGCAGGTGAACACATGTAGATGCTGGATGGATTTGAATTTTCTTCTGGCTGTTTGTCTGGCTTACTGACTACGCTGGAGATTGGAACTAGGAGTCAGGAATGCCTGCATTCTTCTAATTTTGGTTTATCTAGTACCTTATTGTAACGATTACTGTTACCTTCATCTTACATATGGTCATATTAAACTTCCTTACAAGGGGTATTACATGGACTAGTTGATAATTATACAGTGCTCCTAAGATGCAAAGTGCTTATAGAAATACTAAGATTTATTTTTAATTAATTAATTCATGCCCAAGGAAGAGATTAACAAATATGAAATGCAGTAGTAGTTTGACTCTCTCTAAATGAATGCACATGCACTCTCCAGTACAACTTAAAGAATATTGATATTGTAGCCATTTTTCCTTTTCTTAGGCATGTCTGTAGCATGAAGACGCAAAGTTTGAAAATGCCTTCTTTATGAATTTATCGAAATACTAACTGTATTGCTAATCTACTTTCTTTCCAGGTGTCAACTGACATGGAGTCTTCTACTGACAAAGATAAGATAGCTGGCCTTTTGACAGAGACATTCTCCTCTATGAAGAAAGAACTGGATTCACTGAAGGAGGGAGCAGAACTCTCCAAGGCCAAGAAAGTGGTGGTAAAGCCCCAAGAGGAAATTAGGCAGCTGACTGAGGAACATGGAAGCACCCTATCCAGTCCTAGGAGTTTGGGAGATGAGCAGACTCTGGCTTTATTGGAACAGTATTCAGAGCTACTGCTGCAAGCTGTGAAACGGCGCATGGACATTTAAAGGGATGACTTTAAGGAAAAATGTTTTTTAATACATGGAAATAGCTCCAGGAGGAAGACCACAGTGGAAGACTCAGACAAATGCTATCTGCACCCTTATCTGAAGGGGGAAAAAGATCTTTTTTAAAACTGCTTTCCTCAGGCCCATAAAACTGATTTGCCATAGTTTTTAGTAATGTGCTGGCCACAGTTTTAATAACTTTTTCCATTGCTCTTCAGCTTTCTGTCTCTGGACACACTGTTTTGAAAAAGAAGTTTAGAGAAACTTGTTAGAAATTTCTTCATAGCCAGAATGTTTGGCATCTCCAATAGGAACAAAAAAATCCAGTTTATTCAAGAAATTCTGAACTGCTGACTGTTGAAAGAGATGTGGAAGAAGCCAATTGCTCCCTCTCCAGAGTTTCATCAGAATCCAAATGCAGACTCTTAAAAGTTTTATTTATTAATTTATTATTCCTGACTGTTTCTCTAATGTTGTCGCATGTTATGGTGGCCATTTCCTTTCCTTTATTTTTTGCTCCTTTGTCACATCCCAGCGAGACACAATCTCTGTATTATAGTAAATCTCAACAGGGAGGCAGGCTGGAGTGTCTGTGCAATTACTGAGCTAGTTTCTGCTTCATCCTGTTTTGATGATCTTCTTTTCCCATGTGTCTGGTTTTCTACCTTCAGTAATCCTCCTGTTGTCATGGTTACCCTGTCTGCTTTTCATGCTTTTTTTATTTAAAAAAACTGTCTCAGCTATAATTTATCTGCATTCGCCTCAAGGGGAGAGTACTCTGATCCTTGAAGGACCAAGGTTTTCAAGATTTTTTGTTTTAAACCAGAATGATAGCAGCTTTTTAAAAATGAAATTGACACAGTTGGTGTTCACATACTTCAGTTTGGGTCTTTCATCAGACATTAAAAATAAGATTTTAAATATTGGAGAAATGTAAATACAGATGCAAAGGTCATTTGAGTCATATTCTGTATTTTGCATTTGGATGTTAATTTCTTGATGTCCATGTGACTTTGAGAAGGAGTTTTTGTGTTAAATGTTTTCTTGGAGAAGTGGGGTGGAAGGTAGGGCTTCTATCTCTTTATGTGATGCCTTTGATAGCAGAAAGGATTGATACAGCTTTTGATCCATGCCAGTTTGATGCTTTCATTGTTGTGGTAGGAAAGTCTGCTAATAGCACGCTCACTCTCTCTCTACAAGAAAACAATATTTACAGCCTAGAGAAGCATATTCTAAAACCATTCTACTTAACTACAGAAAATGACCTCCCAGGAATTTTGAGTAGCCAGTATACATTATAGGTGTAGATATAGGTTATTGAGGAATATAACTGGCAGCATCCTTCCATTTATTTTTTTTTCCTTTAATGGGTCTCTCAATTGAGAAATAGAAACCCTAGCCCCTGCAGAATTCAGTGTGCAATACCCTTCTTGCCTTGCCCTTCTCCAACCCAACGATAACTTGTGCATTGTTTTGTCTTTGCTTGTACCTAATATTGCGCTTTGTCAATATGAATAAGCTAGTAAAATAAGATGTGACTTACTTGCCCCCCCCCCAAAATGGATAGTTACATAGAGTATTCACATCTTTTCTCTGCCTAAAATGTTCCTCTTTCACCACTTCTCTTTTTTCAAGACTCATACAACCCCAGTATGTCAGCCACGCTTCAGTTAATCTATCCTTCAATGGAAATGTTTGACAAGAGGTTCTTTAAAGTTGGCCAGTGCACAAAGCGTTGTTCAGTTTTTGAGGACTTGAAGCAACCTTTTTTCCAAGTGGGAGAGCTGCCTGTCTGTTTGATCCTGTGGTACTCTGGAATATGGCCAGCTGGTAACTTGACTTAGAAGCATTCTGGGATTGGAGACCTGCAGTGCAGTCCGATCCAAGGCCAGCTGACCCTTCGCTATGCACTGCAGGGCCTTTGCTCTATTTGCTACCTGGTCATCAGTTCATTGAGTTTCAGGACTGAAGGCATGGTAGCATGAAGGAAATGTATTTCTGAGCCTTCCAGCTGGTTCCTCCATAAACCAAATCTGTCTTCAGAAGTTTTGAACATCCTGTGTAACATTTGGTTAAATAGGGCTGTATTTTAATTCAAAGTTTAAGTCTCAAGATGTTCTATCCTGGTGATCATCTCCCACCATTACATAATTCTGAATTGGATGGTGTGCCAGGGTTTTATGGGTAGCATAAAACATGGGTCCCTCCAGCCAAGGAGAGGGAGCTGTTTGGACAGGAGAAAAGCACTGGGGGTCTCTTCAGATGAAAGTTCCAGAGGGGACATTTGCTAGTGGAATAGATGGCGGCAATCATGTCCATTTATATATTGTTTTAAATAGCCCGATTTAGGCGGTCTTTGTGATTACCAGGTTTTCTTCCTCCACATTCAGACTGTGAAAAAGTACATTTCAGTACACAGGTTTCTTGCTGTATTAGGCCACAGACTCTCTCAGGTAAAATAGCAGATTCTTCAAAGTATCTTCTGATACTTATGATAGTGGTTTGAGGTTTATCTTCCTTCTGTTACACAATTTTAATTCCCTTTATTATTTTTATGTAAAGAATGAGGTGGCAACAAAAAAGGGATTGGAGAGAATGCTCCAGGAGGCTGGAGGGAATAGAAATGTGCTCCAGAGCCATTCTGGTTGGATACATTAAACCAGTCCATGATTTAACTTGAATTGTTGGAGGTAAAAAGGAAGAGCTAATAGAATTTTTGGTGCTGTGAACTAGGGCTCCCTCCAAATAATTTACTTGAAATGAACTTTAAAATATGAACAGGATTTTTGTGCCTGCCAGAATTGGGCTTTGCCTGTAGTCTTGAGTGTTGATGGGAAAACAATAAACAAGGGGCAGCTGTCAGGTTAGAATGGTGCTAGGTGTGGTCTTAAGCAAGTAGATCAGCCAGGAGTGAGGAGTAGAGTAGCCTTAGATGCATTGGAATAGTAGACGCAGGAGTTTCAGGAGAATAGTATTAGGAATAGAAATAGGTTTGGGTTCAAGAATATAGGTTGGTTAACAATGGCTATGAAAGATATAGTACAGTAGTCTTATGGCTTCAGGGAGGTAGAACAAGGACTGAGCGTACATAGCGGTATAAATAGACGGGAAGGGAGAGTTTTTTTTCTAGAACTTTTTTTATTGTGCCTCTTGTTTTCCCACTTGCTTCTGTTTTGTTTAGAAGGTTTGGAAAGATTCAACCATTTACGTAAGGCTTTACCATTTAAGAAGAGCTGTGCAGCTAAAGCCCGATGAAATAAAGGTGATGTCCCTACAAGTTGGTTGCTGAGAATGTTTGAGGAAAGAAAGTATTGCAGTTTCTCTAGCTTGAGAGCTTGACACAACATATGTAAGATGGTTATACACTGGTGACTTCCCATTGCTGGCAGCATGCTGCATAAAATCCCAGTTTGGAGCACAAATGTCCTCAACAAGGTGGTAGCTGCTGGCCATGTGGCCTACATTTGACCTGCATATAAAGCATATGCTTTCATCATAGCTTATTCTGTTGCTTGGGTTGAGAAAACCTGAACAATGACAGCTGGAAAATGAAGAGGATGAGCATTATTGGAGTTCGGCCTTTACTACGTGTGCATGTGCATGTATGCACATGTATACAGATGTAAAACAACGTGTATGGAAAAAATTTACTGTTTAGAGAAGTCTGTAAAAGAATTTTTGGTCTGCCAGTGTGTTGTCGTTGCATAAACTCCATCCCTGTTACCAGCACACTCATGGCTGAAAATACAAGAGTTTTTCTTTTCAGCTTGGTGTAGATTGTATTACTTTTCCTGTGCAAGCTCACAGAACAGGGAACAAAGACCTATGAACAGCCTGGTGCAGTAAGAAGTGCTTGAATCTGACAAGACAGCAAATCCCTTGTGTGTGATTCTTTCAAGTACAAATCACTCTGCTTTTCTCCCTGGTCAAACATTAGTGCACACAACTGGTGTTCTTACATGAGTCTGCATTTCTTCCCTTTTCTCTCTCAGGTTGTCTCCTTTCTATTGAATCTCCCAGGTAATGGCTGGGGCAGGCCTTTCAGCACCCTCTGATCATCCTACTGATCTTGCTGCACCTCAGAGGAATCTGTACGTTTCTCCAAAGGAGATTAAAACAATATGGACTTGATTTTTTTTTTTAAGTGTGTGTACATAATATAAATTTTTAAAAACCCAGAAATTGAGGTATTTAAATATTGTTTAAGTCATACACATGTAAGTCTCTCCCCTGAATGCGCCAGATATTAAATGACAGAAAACCTCATTAAAAAAGACAGGACTCCTTTCAGCCCTTGAGTGAGTGATGAGCAGATGGTTCCTTCTGTGGGTAAGACTGGAGTGTCCACAATTCCAGATTGCTTGTTGTAAATAATGCACCAAATTGGATTGCATATTCATGTGGGTTATCTGCTGTAAAGCATGGACAGAAATGCATGGTGCAGCAACTTTAGGAATAAGCCATGTCCACGCTGCATGTCTTAGTTATGCCATAGGCACCAGACATAAAACTTTTCCTGTGTTTTTTCAACACTACCGTTTTTCCTCCACCGTTTTAAAATAATAATAAAAACCCCTTTATTTATAAATGTGTGGTTTTTTTTTGTTTTTTTATACTTTGGCTTTTGGTAAAAATGGATTAAATCTTTAAAATGTCTTTTATAATTATTTGAAAAAAGGTTTTACGTTTGTGGGGTTTTTTTGCACTGTGAAGCGCCCACCTGGGGGCTGTTTTTAACTCTGTATCCATTTGTACTCTGTGTCTTAAATTGTTTCAATAAAAATGTGATCGTTTGTTACCAAGCTGTCCTTCAGAAATTCCATATACTTTAAGACCCAAAGGGGCCATAAAGATGATCTGGACTGATCTCCTTCTACTACTGGATATTGGAATTTCACCTCCTCATGCCTGTCTCTGTTCTTTGACTTCCATCATCATCGACTTCCAACTGAGTCATGCCATTTTTTTTATTTAAAAGAAAAAATGTATGTATTCAAAGATGTAGTGAAGCGAGTCTATCAGCTGAGCTGGCTGCCTGCCAGCCACGAAAGACCACTGCAATGGATGAAGGTGTTACAATGCGCTGCAGTGATGGCAGCGCATCTGAGTTTGGTCTGCGATCACTGGTGGTAAGAATGTACCTTGGGGGATGCAGTGCTTTCTACCGGAAGTAGACGAGCGGAGTGCCCCAAATGCTGGCTGACTTCTGGACAGGGCGAGGAGGGAATAGGTCCTCACTAAAAGCTTCGAGTAGGGGTCCAAGCCTTCACAGCCCGGGGGCGAGGGAGGGCAAGCCAGCCCCGAGCACAAGCCACTTTCCCTGCTGCTCCGCCGTGTCAGAGCGATGCCACGTGTAGGGCCGGGCCCTGCGTGGGGCTCCTTCCCAAAGGCTTCCGTGAGCGGGGCAGATAACTGCTGCCGAGGCCGGCTGGGTGGGAGAGGATCCCGCTGTGAGCACAGCGGGATGACCCCAAGGTCTCTTGCAGCGCTACGACTTGCAGTGCCTCGAGGCCTGTGCTTCCCCGAGAAGCGCCCCATGCCCTCTGCCCGCCCTGCGCCACACAGCCCGCTTTGTCCGCGTCGGACCCGAGAGCGGCTGCCGCCGCGCACGTCTTGCGCACGCGCACACATGACGCGCGCGCGCGCGCACGCACCCCAGTTTCCCGCGTGCCCGAGGCCGCCTCTC